TTTCCTCCCAAAATAACAAAATGACTTAACAGAAAACTAGGGACCAGGTGTGATGGTTCACATCTTTAATTTCAGCACCTGGGAAGTTGACCCAGAAGGACAACAGCTAGTTCAAGGCCAGCCTGAGCTACAGAGGAAGACACTGTTTTACACACACACACACACACACACACACACACACACACACACACACACACACACACTCACTCACACACACAGACACACACACACACACACTCACTGGTGTGTGTGTGTGTGTGTGTGTGTGTGTGTGTGTGTGTGTGTGTCTGTGTGTGTGTGTGTGTAATAAAGCCAGAAATTTAAAAATTGTTCAGCACAGCATTTATTCCTTTAACAGAAAGGAAATCAATATTGTAGATTTTATCTATTTCTTAGCAAGACAATCATAACAGGAGCATGTTGAGCCTTATGTTAAAAAGGGTATTTTTGAGGGAAGGTATTTTGACAATTGTTTACTTAAAGGACAAAAGGAAATGGACATGTTCAATCATCAACCAGGGAAGTGAGGGTGGTGGCTGCAAAAACCCACCTTCCCATACAAGCTCCAAAAAGAAGCCAGGGAGAAGGCAGAATGGAAACAATTCCTAAGCACAGCTGGAGGGGGTTTGCCCTGCAGAGTGAGACTCAAGGTTTCATCTACGACAGAGAATCAGGACAGAATGTGACTTGGTTAAGACTGTACGATGGAGAGCTGGAGAGTTAACAGCTCTTGGTACTCTTGCAGAGGACCTGAGTTCCACTCACAGCACAAGAACAGACATGTTGGGACATAGCCTTCTAACTCCAGCCGCAGAGGATTCAGCACTCCAAGGGCCCTGCATTCGTGAACACATACCCGCACACAGATACAGACACGTAATTTAAAAAATCTAAAAAGAAATCTTTTTTTTTAAAGGCTATGTATTTTGAGGCAAACTAGTGAGCAGAATTTCTTTCTCTCCCATATGCACAAATGCAGCCTCTGGAGCCAGATTTCCACACTGCTTGGAGAAAATAGATTTCTAGTGGCCCCCAACAAGCATGTTCAAAGACGCAAGTGGAAGCAAAGAAAGAACAGGCTGTTGGGTCACCTGGCACTTGCAAAGCCACCAGTCTGTTGTGGGTTCCTTATATTGCGATGTGCCAAAGACTGGACATGGACCCGCCCCTCCCAACCCCCAGCTTTCTACCCTGTGAGTCAAAAACTGGATGTGGAAGTTTCAGACTTTTTGTTAATGGTGAAAGGTTTATGAACAGGAAAGCAACAAAAAATTAATTCAAAATCAGACACAGAGGGAATCCATGGTGTTTCTGGCATTGCTACCCTTGTTGCGCCATGAGACATCGCCATGGCCGTGGTGATAGACAGCACACACACTTTTCATTGTGTGGCAATTGCTCCATGAAGCACTCACGAATACTGCCAGAAACATGACTCAGACTGAGGCTACCCAGCAGCAGGAATTTCAGCATGTTTCAACCCCTACCATGTTTTTTTGTTTTTTGTTTTTTGTTTTTTTTTCTGTTACAGAAACAAAATTATTTAATTACAGAAAGCAAAAGCTCTTCTTGCATTCCTATTATCACACCTCTAGGCAAGTAAATACCCAATTAGAATATCTTTGAATTGGATTGTGTTAGAACCTTCTCTTTTTAAAGTTGCTGTTGGGCCTGGGGAGGTGGCTCAGAGGTTAAGAACCCTGGCTGTTCTTTGTAAAGGTCCTGAGTTCAATTCCCAGCAACCACATAGCAACTTGTAACCATCTGTGAGTCAATCTGGTGCCCTCTCTCTGGCCTGCAGGCAGAATGATGTATAAATGACAAAACATCTTTTTAAAATTATTTTCGAATTTCATTTAAAGAAATGATGGTTTGCTTTATTTGGGCTCTGGATTAAGGTAGAATTAAAACCATTTCTGAAATGATGCTGTATTACTTACTTTTCTATTGCTGTGTTAAAACACCATGACCAAGGCAACTTAGAAAAAGGGGTGTGTTTTGGGCTTACAGTTTCCGGGGACAGAGAGTCCATCATGGTGGGGCAACAAGGCAGCAAGCAGCAGTGATGCTGGCTGGAGCAGCAGCTGAGAGCTCACATCTCAAACAGCAAACAGGAAGCAGAGAGCACGCTGGGTATAACGCCACTCTTTTGAAACCCAAAAGCCTACCCACAGTCACACACCTCCTCCAACAAGGCTGCAAGAATCCTAATTCTTCCCAAACAGCCCCACCAACTGGGGACCAAACATTCGAACATCTGAGCCTCTGACGGCCATTCTCATCCAAACCACTGCAGCTCGTAATCATACTTTTGCCATTTTTTACTACTCATTTATGTGGGGAGGGAGTCTCAATAGTGATGATTATAAAAATCAAAATATTGACCAACTCTGAAACGTATGTTGAAGGTGCTGTGTATTCTGAAGTATCAAACATCCAGCCAAGATTTAGCACTTTATGTAAAAAAACAGCAAGCACATCATCTTGTTAGGTAGGTTGAAGATGAAAGCAAATTAGTGTACTAACAAGATGATTGAGATTTGCTTAAGATAGATTTCTTCATGGTGTACTATCAGAAAACATTTGCTAGAAATGACTATTTCTATATTTCTAGAAATGACTGTGTGTGTGTGTGTGTGTGTGTGTGTGTGTGTGTGTGTGTGTTGTGAGTGGTTGAAAATGTGTGAGAAGCTGTGGCTCAGAGAAAGGCTGAAAGTGAGATGAGCGCTGTCCACAGCTGTGGTCCTGATGGCCGAAACGCACGGAGAGAGAGGCCCATAGAAGTGGCAGCTGGACAGAGGAGTCATATTGCTAAATGGTAACTGAACTTTCAAAACAGTGTCAGGAGAGCTTGTGGATCTTTCACTCCTGTCCCTTGTTACTTTCACTCCTGTTTCTTGTTACTTCATATTACTCATGTGTCAGCAGTTTTTTGGGCAGAGGTGGGTGAAGGGTTCCTCTGCTGTCCCTATTCTCATTACCCTGATCATGCTTTGCTGTTCTGTTTACCCTGAGCTTCAAAATCAGAAACTTCAGCAGAATGACCCTGCTTTCTGAATGTGCATTAGAATGTAAACTACGGATTTATACCCTAGTAGTAATGAAACAAGACACTGGAAATGATAGCCGACTCACTCCTAAATCAGAAAATGAAGAGCTTTAGAGTCTTTTAACAAGTAGATGAAACTGAAGATGCCGCCTCGTGGTAGAACGCTTGCCAGATGTGTCTAAGTTCCAACCCCAGCAGCAGACAACGGGCACACAAATGTAACTGTGTCATGGTTACCTGTGAGGAGGATGACACATACTTTTCCCTGTGCTTATCCACTCACGCTGTTTGAGTTTCACCATGCACACGGATTCCTAAAAGCACACGTAGACTTACACCTTCTTACACAACCAAGACCATTTACTCTTAACCTGTTAGGCGACTCCAAAGGTAGCTTTAATATGAAATGTGAACTTGAAATTTGAGTAAGGTTCGTGAAATTTCGATGACTAACAAGTTAACAAATCCGAGGCCCTTTGCTCATATGAGATAATCAGAATCCCTCATCCAGAGACACAGAAAGATAGTGGCTGCTTCAGAGGGATGGGATTTACATGTGATTCTCTCTATTGCTATCAAGACTGAAACTCTAACATGCTAAAAAAAACATATAAATTTTATTTTATTTCTTTTTGAATGCATGAATATTTATGTGCATTTAAAATGTATGTATTATGTACATATAAGCATGTACTGGTGTTTACAGAGGTCAGAAAAGGGTATCATATCTCCTGGGACTGGAGCTACAGAAGGTTATACCACCATGTGGATGATATGAACTGGACTCAGGTCCTCTATAAGAGCAGACTGATCAATGCTTTTAACTGCTGGTCCTTTTCTACAAACCCCAAGTTATAAATTTTAAGGTATATGAAGTATGTTTCAATAAATCTATAAAGAGGAATTTAGAAAACAAAATCCACAAATATAAACTGAATTATACTAAATGTGTGACAGATAACCTATACTATTGTAGCTATTAAAACTCTATTATCTAAAAGTTCTCTAGTTTAAAAAAAATACAAGCTGGGTGTGGTGGCACACATCTTTAATCCCAGCACTCAGGAGGCAGAGGCAGGCAGATCACTGTGAGTTTGAGGCCAGCCTGGTCTACAAAGCAAGTCCAGGACAGCCAGGGCTACCCAGAGAAACCCTGGTTTTTAAAACCAAACAAACAAAAACAAAGCCAGGCAGCAGTGGTGTACACCTTTAATCCCAGCACTCAGGAGGCAGAGGCTGGCAGATCTCTGTAAGTTCAAGGCTAACCTGGTCTACAGAGCGAGTTCCAGCATAGCCAAGACTGCACAGTAAAAACCTATATTAAAAAAAAAAACAAAAAACAAAAAAACAAACAAACAAACAAAATAAAAACAAAACCAACTTATGCTGCAAACTAGGAGCCTAAAATCTAAATACATAGCAATTTACCATCACTAGCACAGCTATTATTGAATGTAGCTGTGAAACTGAAAGTTCCCCTTGCTGGTGATTTCTGGGCACACAACCAGTGTGCCCACTAGGGTTTGAACAACCTCTCTGTTGGTGAATTCACTACTATCACAGAAGAGTGCGCTTTAGAAAATGTGCTTCAGACCTAAGAGGGTTGGGCTATAGCCAGCTTAGTCTACTTTGCTGGGTCAATCTAAGGGGCTAAAGCCCAGAAACTTGCATTTTCAAACAATCTCTCTAATGTCCCTGATTTCACCAGATCAGGGGATTAAAGCCCCATGGACATCACTGATCTTTCTAGCAGCCCCCAAATGGGATCAAAACCCATAGAGCCTCCTCTTTTATGAACTGCATCACCTTTCATACTCTCAACCATTTCAATAAATCTGAAGTAAAAAGTAAGTTGCAAGCGACCATTTTTGAAGAAGTGTGAGTCTTGAACATGAAGAAAATCCTTAAGATGCAATCTTTGGTCTTTGGTGAAGAAGATAAGTCTCAGAAGTGATACTTAAATCGAATTTACTTAAATATAAGTGTTGCAAATCCCAAGAGATAGCCACCACCCCTAGGGCCACGTTGACCAGCTCAGGCACACAACAAAGGCAACCCAGAAGGTCCATGTGAGCTGCCAGAATTCAGTCCGGTTAGTCCTCCAACTTAGCGCCCCTTACACTGTGAGGACATGGGAACGGCTCCTCCTCTTTCAGTTAGCTTGGGCAACTCTGGCGCTGGCTCCGAGGAAGTTGAACATCGTAGCCACCAACTCTGGAAGATCAAAGTCATGCTTCCAGCCCCAGTCCTTCCGGGCGTTGCTGTCATCTAGGGTCATGGGCCAGCTCTCCGCTGGGGAAAGACACAGGAGAGAACATGGGGTTACCCAGGCTCTGGATTGTGAATGATTGGACACATCTTATATGAAGACAAAGAAAAGGAAACCTCGTCTTTGACTGGGGCAGAACTAGCACATGCAGGCCCACCTCCTCAGAAAACACTGGGCACCTGCACTGGGATTTTCATGTTATTAAAATCTTACACAGATTTCTAAGGGAACATGCTCATATCCACTACTTTGATCGCTTCTGTTTCTCACTGCTTTATTAAACTGTGAAAAGGTTAAATGGTGCGGGACTGTTTCCTGTTCTGGAACCTTTCTCCCAAGGACCTGTTTCCCGTATGGAAGCATCTGCCAGCAGAACCCCGCCGCTCTTCAGCCTTAAAGCCTCCCCACTGGGGTGGCGTGGGGATTCTCAAACTCTGTTTTGGTTTAACGGAGGCTGCCATGGGGACTCACCTATGGCCTGCCTGAGAGGATCCACACAGTAGGTGATCTGGAAGTTGGGCGCGTGCTTTCGGAGCTCCTGGGCCAGCTCGTCGGGGGTGAAGCTCATGGCGTTGATGTTGTAGGTCCTCATGGACAAGCGCTCTGCAGGGGCCTCCATGACTTCCAGGGTGGCCCTGAGGCAGTCGCTGATGTACATCATGGGGAGCCTGGTGCTGGCCTTGAGGTTGCACTCAAATGTGCTGTTCTTTGCTGCAGCATGGAAAATCTGGACTGCGTAGTCTAAAAGAGAATCCTGGCCTGTGGGTTTTCTCAGCAAGAGGGAAGAGCCTCAGGCAGGACTGGGATGCCGGCTCTCCAGAGCTCTGAATTCAGAACCTCTTTAGCCTACTAAAAATGGAAGGGTCTCCCCCAAAAAGATCTGAATAATATGGGCTACATTCAAGATTCACTGTTATACACAGGTAACTGAGAATTTTTTTTTAGTTACTGTATTTTTTAGAGCCAGGGAGGAGGGAAAAAAACACTCCTACTTTACATGTCTCATGAAATATGAGGAAACTAAGGTGGCCAGTTTATGGACTAAGCAGGGTCTCCCTGAAACAAGGGACTTTAAAGATAGAGACTTACCAGTTGTCCCTCCTCCGAGCTGGGAATCTGCAGAAATGATTCCAGGATACCTCAGGCACCGGAAATCTAAGCCATACCGGTAGTAATAGTACTAAGAAAAAGAAAGAGCTGGCTAAAAAAACCCACACTAGTAATCTTATAGGTCAGATAAAACAAAATAGCCTTTTCCTAAAACATGTGCAGTTAAATTAAAACGTTCCTCAAGAGAATAAGCATTTGGAGCCTGCAGGATGGCTCAGTGGGTGGAGGCACTTGCCACACAGCCTGGTGACTAGAGTTAGATGCTCAGAACCAAGATAAAGGCGGAAGGAGAGACTCCACAGTTATCGTCTGACCTCCACACACATGCCGCAGCAATTTGTGTGTGCATATACACACACACACACACACACACAACATGCACAAACACAACTTTTAAGAGAAAGAAAATTCTGGATTTTCCAGAATTTCTACGTTTTTCACTTTTTAGTAACATTCACTTTTGGTGTTACATCAACGCCGCACATGATAAAAGCAGCCTGCAGGTGGCGCTCTGCCCCCCCCCCCCCCCCCCCCGCCCCCACCTTGAGTACTGCAGGCTTGCTCCCCTTCGGGGAGTTTGATGTCCAGGAGCTGAAGGGGACACTGACTACAGTTTACTATAAAGAGAGTGAAAGCATGGTTGAAATTGTCCACAGTAAAAAGTTTCTGGGCTGGGGAGATGACTGTTGGTAGGGTGCTTCTGGCACAAGCACGAAGAACTGACGTAGATTCTTTAGAACCCACAGAAGAAAGCAGGGCACAGCAAAAGTCTGTAATCTAGCACTAAGGAAGCTGAGACAGGATCCCCGACCCATAAGCCTGGCCTACTTGTTCCAGATTCTAGTAAGAGATCCTGTTTCAGGATTTAAGGTGGAGAGGAAGTGAGGAAGACAGCCAACTTCTGGTCTCTATACACATGAATACATACACTTGTTCTCCACATATATTCTCTCCCTCCCTTCCATCCCTTCTCTCTCTCTCTCTCTCTCTCTCTGAGAGACGTGTAACATCCCACCAGTAAGCAACTGCAGTGTTGAGAGTCTTACAAATAAGATGGGCAGCAAGCACAGATGGGAGCAGTTTCAAGGCCGAGTGTCCAAAAGTACTAAGAGTTACTAACCATGGCTGTGGACAAGCAGCAACCTATAACTTAAGAGTTCTTCAGTGCCTAAAAGGGGCCTACCACGGACAAACGCACCAGCTAAATAATCATTTCTGGGGTGCAAATGTTTCCCCCCAAATGAAGCACGAAGTATCTGAGGCAAAAAGAATGGCGTTAGACATGTGGAATCATCTCTCCCTGAATGTAGAGCATTCTTGCTGAGAAATGCTACTTACTTCTCCCATGAGCTCTGCATGGACCTTGGATACCCCATAGATGGTCCTGGGCCTTTGAATACAAAGATCAGGCGCAGGGTTCTGAGGAGAGGTAGGTCCAAAAGCCCCAATCGTGCTGGGCACAAACAACCTCACGCTGTATTCGGCTGCAACATCTAGAATGTTATGCAGTCCTGAAAGGAATGGACACCATGAAAATCTGGAAATAAAACTTCTTGCCAAGATCGGGAAAAACTCTGCCCCATCAGGCCAGAGCCGGCAGCTCACCAGTTATATTCACATCTCTGGCCAAGGACATATTTGCTTCTCCGGCAGCACTCAGCAGAGCACTGTAATGGAAGAGCCAGCTGATACGGTGGTTCACCACAGTCTCACGAAGGTTCTTGTAATCCAGGATGTCGGCATAAACAAACGGGCCTGGGAGTGCAGAGGTTGAAGGGCTGCATGCCTTGAAGAGCTAAATGGATCCCCTGTCCCCTGCCTTGAGACGATCTCATTCTCATCCTCTCTTGCCCTCCTTCCCCACCCTTCCTTTTGGAGCAGAACCTGCTTATGTAGCCTAAGCTGGACTGCGACCTTGCTGTCCTTCTGCTCCAGCCTTCCAAGCACTGGGTGAACAGCCACGCTCTATCTTCTTGGTCTGGCTTTCTCAGAGTTCTTTGTTGTTTGTTACTATTTATATGTATCTGTGTGTGTGTGTGTGTGTGTGTGTGTGTGTGTGTGTGTATCCAGGTGCCCATGGGGGCCAGATGAGGGTGCTGAAGTTATAAGTGGGAGTGCTTGTGAATGTGTATACCTGTGGAGCCCTAAAAACGGTTTTGAATCCTCTGGAGGTGGAGTTACAGGTGGGTGGGAGCCACCTGATGTGGGTGCTGGGAACCAAACTTGGATCCTCTGAAAAGTCTCTTTACTACTGAGCCATCTCCCTTCATCATATTCTTAATATTCTTCATATTCAAGTTCTTATTTTTTGTTTGTGGGTTCTTTAAGTCAGTCAGATAACCAAAAACTCAAGATAGGAATAAAAATAAAAAGACCTTATTTTAAATAATATCAAAATACATTACTCCAAAACTTGAGGTGCCATAGAGCACCTATTCCTTGTCATTTGAACAGAGCAGCATTGAAGGGACACTTTTAAGCGAGGACCATGCCCAGTCCCTCTTTGATTCCTGCGTGGACCCCAGGTGCTGCCTCTTTGACTGTATTTTGAAAAGTAAACCATCAAGGACTATCCATATCTCACCACTGTGGAAGACATGATCAGGGGGCTTCCTTATGTCTGATAAAATCACATTGTCCTTCCCAAATCGTTTCCTGTAGGGAAAGAAAAGCATCGCCCCCCAAAATAGTCAGCAACATCAAGAATACAAGTCTTAGGTAAGTGATTCAAATGGGCACTGCAATTTCTGCGCCTTCTCCAGTCACCTCCTCCCTCTTCGCCATTGTCATGCGCCCCTCAGCTTTGCCTCCCTGAATTCAGACCTTCCTTTCTTCCCACAGACTGGTTCTCTACTTATGCCCTCCTCCTGCTGTACTGGTCACCAGTGCTACCTCCGTATCCATGGCACTTCCTCCTCTCCCTCACTCTCTTATCCTGCTGTTTTCAGCCCCAGAGGATTCCCTTCCAGCTCCTATAAGCATTTGCCTCTGCCCTCTGCTCCCAAACAACTAAAAGGTAAGTGATTCATTTGGGGTGATGAGTCTCACTCTACCCAAGTTAGGACTGAGAACAAAGAGCTAGGGTTGTGACAGGAGGCAAAATAAAACGTGTTTTATGCAGCTCTTTAGATGTGACATCTTAGAAGCAGAAGGAGTCCAGAGAAAAGAGAACAGATGGTTAATGCTGACAGAGACAACTGTACACTCTTAACTTAACTTAGTTTTGAAACTCTTACCTCAAAAGGTTAGCAAGTCCTACTCCCAGCTGGCCAAGACCCCCTAGGTGAAGAAGAAAACAAGGTGAGACCCAAGTGCAAATCTATTCTTAGAGCATTAACAATGAACTAAGACTCCTGCAGTCTTAGTGAGCTAAAGCGGGTGAGGCGGGGGGGGGGGGTTGTTGAGCTGATGAAGTTGCTGCAGACCACGCCTGGCATTGCAGTGCACTCAGAGCATAGGATAGCCACTGTCCATCATGGACTGGTATCAGTGCAGGTCAGAGTTTTGGAGGTGCCCAAGATGAAGAGGGAAAGAAACATAAAGTAAATTTCATGTTGGGCCCAGCTCCAAACAGGAGAGCAAGAAGCCTTTTGACAAAAGGACAGGGGACAAGTTGGTGTGGTAGTACACATCTCTAATTCCAGCACGTGGGGTGGGGCAGAGGCATGTGGATCTTGAGTTCAGGGCCAGTCTGGGACAGCCAGAGCTCCACAGCAGAGATACCCTGCCTCAAAAACAAACAAACAATGAGAATTCATTAAAAAATAAATGATACTAGCTTCTAAACTTGGAAGCCAGAGCAAGGGAGCTAGGAACACATTTAGAGGAGGACAACTGTAAATTTCAGGCAAGACACTTTGGCATGAAGATAGAGCAGCGAGATTCTCTGCCAGTTAACAGAGGACAAAAACCCATGGCCTTAGAGATGTTTTCCTAGTGGAGACAACGAATGAAAGAAGCACACAAAGAGCAGGATAGGAAAGGAGTGAAAACATGGTAGAGGAGGAAGAAATAAAATGTGTCAATCAAATGAGAGGACAACACGGAGTGTGGAATGAAGAGGGGGTGGGGCCAGGTACTGCATATTCTGGAGAAGGAGGAGCTAGGAGTGGATCTGGTGGTGATGAGCTCAACAGCAACAAGGAGCTTGGACAGTGCTTACAGCCATCTTATTTCCAGCAAACAATAGTGCAGAAACAATTTGTGATGGGCAACTCTAGGCTTAGGCTGGGGAATCTGGCCAAGGAAAGATGTGCCTAGGAGAAAGATGTGTTCTAGACCTGGCACACTTCCTGTCCACTCAAGTTTTGCTGCCATTACCTGATATGGGAAAAAAAAATCAAGTTCCAGGACAGCTATTTGGCCCCAGGAACCTAGGTCCCTTCAGAAAACAAGATTTTGTTAGGGAAAGCAAACATAAGCAACAGTTATGAGTAAGGGTAGCTGAAGACTGAATATGTCAGCCAGAACCACACCATTTTAGTTGAACTGCTAATTACTGAAACTGAGAGACTAGGCATTAGACAGGCTCCCTGGTAGGCAAAGAGGGAGAGAGACTGTGACTAGGTAACAAAGGTGGTGAATTTTCAAAATGGCTGGCTTCTTCCTCACCTTCCTGATCCCAGGCAAAGGCCTTGTGGGCTTTTCTTCTGTCAATAGGACCCCTGAACAAGGACAGACTCAGAAAGTTCAAGGCCAGTTTACACACAGTTGTGGGCCAATCCTAAATTAGGGAAGGAAAACTCTTCAGAGCCTTTAAAATCCCCTGCCCTCAAGAAAAAACAAGATTTATGGCTTCCCAAGTCTCCCTTCTGTTATTCTCCCTACTTTGCAGAGGGTCCCTTTCTCTGTGTGCCTGTTCCATGTGTGTTTCCTCATAAAAAAGCCTTTCTTCAACTGCTGCTTCTGTCTACTGTTTGAGATTTCTGCTGCTACCTGCTGAGCTTGAGCAGTTTTCTGCCTTTTAATTCTTTAACTAGCAGAGAAAACAAACTCCATCAAGGCCCCTAGATGGTAGCAAAACTACAGTAACTTGGTTTCAGAACTAAAGTAATTAATTTTTCTGGATTCCTGTCTTCCTCACCCTCACAGCTAATTAAGAGACAGCTAAGTTGCAGGTGTGAGCTATAGGCTGCTCATCAACTACGTGGCATAGACCTTTTCCCACCCTCTGAAACCTGTAGGAAGGGACCCCCACTCTGGTGTTTATGTCTGCACTCTCCTCAGAGCCCCTGCTATGCTGTTGTCTCCCAGTTGCTGTGTTAATAATTCTTCCGATAAATCTCTTGCCTCAAAAGAACAATCCCTTTGAATCCAAACCCAGAACTTTTAAAAAAAGCCTGTGTCTGATCAGAAAGGGATTGCCACCCGAATGAAAAGATATTTGTGATCGTAGGTCTCGCTCATGGACTTTCTGCAGTGCGGCCATTAAATCCGGTGCTAGCGGTCTGACAGCACAGCACACTCCTAGCCAACAAGAAGCAGGGCAGAGGACGCCAGGCTCATGCCAACGACGAGAAGGAGAGGGACCAACCTGTGATCAAGACCCGGGGAGGCTCTTCTTTGGAGAACGAGGTGGAGTGGAAGCTGGCGTCTGCTGGGATTCCATGTGGGGAGCCGCCTAGAAACCGCACAGGCAAGACAAACCTCCAGCAGCCAGAGGCTCTGCTCTGTGCTGTCCCATGGACCACCTGTTTCAGCATCCCAAAGACCAACATCTGCTCTTCTGATACCCTGGAAGACAGGAAGGATGGAGTCCATCACTGACCTTATATCTATCCAACCCCTGGATAGAAACAGGCTGCCCCCTGAAATCATTGCCAGTTCAGGAGCAAAGCCTTCTTTTGTGATTTTTGAAATGCAGCAGACTTAACCGCTGGTTTTCCCATAGGAAGCTAGTCAAGTGCCAGCTTTGAGTCAGGCCCAGCGACAAAGAGATAAATGTTCACAAAAAGCCTAACCTGGCATAACACCGAAACCAAACCAGATGCACAACCAACAAAACCAAAAACCAAAACAAGCCAACCACCAGATCCAGTGAGAGCTTGCAATCTACAGTTGCTATCAACCTGTGCATATGCCATCTGAGAGGACAAGCAGGTCCCAGGCTTAACAGCCAAGCATTGGCAATCTGTGCTAACTCTTTAGATGTTATCTTTGAAATGAACCAGACTAGAAAAGCAGATAGCTAAAGAAAAAGACCTGGCAATATTTAGTAAGCTGTGAACAGCCTTTGTTTGACTCCCACATCCTTTGAAAGGCTCATTTCAAAGAGCCATTTTTTTTCAGTGTTTCTAAGACCACAAAAGTACATTTAATTCCCTCCTATTCCTTGTCCCCACCTTCACTATCAGTTGACAGCGGAATTGACAGTGGAATCTTTCTTTGTCTTGGGAAGTTAAGTGGTTCAGACACATGATTTGTGTTCACACTGTGAACTGAAGTTCCCGGGGGGGGGGGGGAAGGGCAAGGGAGCCACACTTACAGTGCAGAGTGGAGAGCTGAGATGTTACAGAGCCAACTTAAATTTACCTTGGGTTGTCATTAGTCTCTGTAATTGCCAGCTGTCGCCCACCACCATGTCTAACTTAACACCGACTTATCAGGTAAATCCTTTCATAGTGTGGCAACTTATTAGACCACTAACTTCCACCAATCCTAAAGCTAAGAGTGTCATCAGGTTGTATCCAAAATATAGCAAAGATGTCTCTTCTTTGCTCTAACCCACCTACCTGTCCTTCCCAGTAGGTTTTTAAAGAGTGCTTTGATTTAGGACATTTTGTTCTGTAATGATGAAATTGTTTCTCTCCAAATGTGTCTATGACCCAAGAACACAGGTTGAGATATTCCAAATAATGTTTCATGACTGTGGGCAATAAAAGCTTGAGAAAACGTTTTGTGCCCTTATGAGTCATGGAAGATGAGGATCTTTTTCTTTCTTTCTTTCTGTATGAAAAGTTAAGGTGGTTAGAATTCCTGTGGCTGCTGGGGCAGGAGGACACTCTGCAGAGCTGCTGAGGCTCTTCATACCTGCTGACTCATAAATGAGCCTGGAAGACAGCCTTCCCATCATGGGCTCATCACTGGCTTCACTGCTTCAGTTAGCATCAGAAAAGAGGTAACCAGTGCTGTCCAGTGTCCAGGGAAAGTCCGAGCCTTCCCTTAACCACCCTCAGAGGAATGCCATTGGAAAAAACCTCCCTGCAGCCAAGACCAGGTAAGAAGTTGTGAGTTGGTTATCAACAAGTTCAAAAGGCGACAGAGGCTGTGAAACCACTGCATTCCCCCAGGGCACTGAAATGCAAGGACAAATTCCAATTTCCAAAAGCAAAAGAATGAATCAGTTGAAAGGGTCAAGAAAAAGCAAACTCCAAGAAAAAAACAGGTTCATGCTGTTGGCCTCATCACCCCCACAAGGAAAACACAAGGAGGCAACTGATCAGTTCTTAGCCAAAAGCCAAGTGTTTTACCCTGGCAGCATGGACAACATACACCTGTTCTGACTCAACAAAATCCACTAATAGTCGACACTGGTCATCCCTCCATGCCACGGGCTAGCAGAACTGCTCTGTTCTGGGATGATTGTGCCTGCTACCCTGCCCTCCAGCTTGAGGATCCATTGTGGGGATAGCTTTAACATGGAGATACCAAGTCAGAGCAACGTAAACTCCTACTCTCAGTGCTGCTTTTCCAAGTAAAGACTGCTGTCTTGTTACTGCCCACTTCATCATGACACAGCCACATGCTGCATAAAGCCATTTATGCTCCACAGTAGGCCACACAGACAAAGGCAACTCCATAAGATAATATGGTGAAGGAAGAGAAGGTATGTTATAACCGACTGGGTGAGCGATGAACTTACCTACTAGTGCTTTCTTCATGTGTCTCCACTGTTGTGCGCACATGACTAGACTCAAAACAACAGCCCTCCAATGTCAAGATGCCTTTACACCTTTTTTTTGAGACAGGGCTCATTCTGTTCTGGGACTCAGAGATCTGCTGGCCTCCCAAAAGCTGGGATTAAAGATGTGTTATTACCACACCCAGCCTCCTTTTCACTCTGAACAGTTGAGGACTGAAAGCCAGGTGTGGTATCTTTAATCCCTTCACTCCAGAGACAGAGGCAAGCAGATCTCTTTGTTCAAGGCCAGCCTGGTCTACAAGTTTTAGGACAGCCAGGGCTGTACAGAGAAACCCTTCCAAGTCTTGGGAAACAAACAAAACTGTGGACTGAAAAGTTTATGTGAAAAGCATCATCTGTCTATTTTCTGTATTAAATATTGCTAAAATTATTTAACGAGGTATTTATTTTTAGTAATTCTTTTGATGATGGTGACATACACACATTTATGAAAGAAACTGTGTTTTCCAAAGCAAATACAGAAACCATGTAGTAAGTAAGAAGAGTGCTATTGTCAGAGGTCAGCGGATTCTCATACTCAATCTGTCTTGAGTTTTCATTGAAGTATCTCAAGAAAATGCAGACTCACGCAGCAAAGTGGTGGGAGAGGTGGATGTTTCTAGATGTGCACCTTTGATACTTCTCTAAAGCTCAAGGGTTAACTAACCCTTAACTTTGTGTGTATGTTATCTATATTCGTTAGGACCAGTATGCCCATATCTGTATATGTGGAGGTCAGAGGTTGAGGTTGGGTTTCTTTCCTCCATCCCTCTTTCAGCCTTTAATTTCTGAGAGGGAGTCTCACTGAGCCTGAAGCTCATCAATTTTGCTAGGCCAGCTAGCTAATGAATTTCAGGGATCCTTCTTTTCCCACTACTCACCTTCCTCCCCAGCATGGACCAGGAAGTGTGGACAATCAACATCAGGATTTGTGGTTTCTGTAGATGGAATCAGATTGGTCCTCATGTGTACATGGCAAGTAAACCGAATAAAACGAAGCCATCTCTTCTCTCCTTTACTTCTCCTCAAAGGCTAGCTGCACGGAGTATCTGACATGCCATTAGGCCACACCATGCTACATTTATGTCTGTCTATCTATCTATCTATCTATCTATCTATCTATCTATCTATCTACCTATCTGCCTTCTATCTATCTACCTACCTACCTATCTGCCTATCTACCTATCTAAATTATTGTGTGTGAGTGTAGAGGGGGATATTGTGAGGCAGGGTCTTACTATGTAGCTCTGTGGCTGCTTTGGAACTCACTGTGTACACCAAGCTGGCCTCGAACTCAAACTGATCCACCTGCTTCTGCCTCCTTGCTTCTGCTGGCACCTAAAGGCGTGCACCACTACACCCAGCTCTAACATTTTTGAATGATCTTTTAGCCCCATTTTTAGCTCCATGTGCTGGACTTTTGGAAAATGTTCATTTGGTGAGTTATGAACTCCTTTCAAGTAAATGTCAGTACACGTCACTGAGCAATGTCAAAGCCACGCTGGCAAATGCCACAGAACGCCTGGGTGTTGGGGATGAGCACCTTTACTTGTTCCTTTACAGCAGAAGACTACTTTGTTCATTTTTTAGAATCCACCTGCCAAATTCTCGAGTACGGATAACCATGTTGTCAGTCCTTCCAAGCGAACTAACGTTCCATCAGCAAGAGTTGATGGCCCGGCTCATGCTCCAGTCCCACAAATGCTTTGCCACAAGGCAGCATCACATTTGAGAGTAAGACAGGAGCTTCGTGGGTGCCTCCAGTCACCATCCAGCGTCCTATAGAAAAATCTTCAATTGGGAGCCAAGGCTTCAGAAAATCAAAGGTTCTTCGGCAGCAGTGAAAGTGACTAGAGACAGCAGTTACTTTACTTCTGTTTGAACCGGTCAGGCAACTGCTACAGCACATGCCTGGCCCTGCAAATGTTTCTTTTAAAGACTCACTAGTTTGGGATAGGGTGTGCTGGAGCCTGTCCCTGTGCCAGTGCCTAAGTGTATGTATGCATATGTTTACCAAGTGTGTGAAAGTAGGACCCGAAGAGGGCATCAGCTCCCCTGGAACTGGAGTTACAGGCCGTTGCGAGCAGCCATGTGGGTGCAAGAACAGCAAGCTGTCTTAACTGCTGAGTCATCGCTCAGCTCCCCAATTCTGCCTTTTCATTGGCAGCATATGGCCACCAGGAATATGATGACCCCTGGCAGTGTGCTGAATGGCCTTAACTGAGACAAAGGCACCAGCAGCCCTGAATTCCTCTGAATCATCAACACACATTCACCGCAGCTCCACAGAACGTCGGAAGGCAACACTTGGACTATTTGGTTTCCAACCATCTACTAAAAGTCTCTCCAGCGACTGTTGTGACATGGATTCGTGAGCACACAAGCAGCACCGTGGATCCAAGCACCACTGCAAATTCGTCCCCTTGTGAGGGAAGACACACTCCTCACATAACTCAGTATGCATCTAGGTCTCCACCAGTCAGCGCGCCTTCAGAGAGTAGAAGAGCTATGGTTCCCCGCAGGGTGCTTTCCCCTCATGCGAGACTCTGCCTCTTCATGACAATGTGATTTGGTAATTCGTCCAGCTTGATGCTCAGTCTGGTAACCTGTCCAGCCTGATGCTGCAACAGCTAGTCTGAAAAATCTACAGTAATTTGGGACTTGTAATGAATTTGAATTAGCTAGTTAAGCCATTCAAGTCACCCTTCTCAGGGGACCCTAAGTAGCTTGTGTTGAAATTATGCTCCTGACATCACTGTGTTAGAAGATCTATGGGGCGGCAGAAAGCTGAGGAACACTTTCAGCTCCCTTACTCAGTTGTGCCCATCTCTCTGGAAAAATTCCCCTTCATAAGTCAAGGAACCAGCTCAGGGGTGACGTTCCTGGTCACCCTTTCCTGCACTCACAGGCACAGATAGCACTGCCAACTGTGGGCTGAAGGTCAAGTTTTCTGTTATCCCCTGACAGGCCAATAATTCATTCTTTAGCAAAATATATATATAAATATATATCCTTGTATTACAGTATTATTAAATTTAAACATAATTTGACATCACTCGAACATTTAGCAGTTTTCCAGTCACAGTGAAGTACACTGCCTTTTGATGCCTTTCTATGTGGATGCAGGAAAACTTGAATCCAAAGCCACAGGAGATAAGAGCAGGCTTTAAAATGAACAGTAGAGCAAACCACTTTCATCTCTGGAAACACATAATTAACCCCAAACCCTAGAACCTTGCAAAGTTCTAGAAACAGAATATTCAAGGGTACCTCTCATTAGCCACCAGAGGTCAAACTTAGTCCTAGATCTTCTGAGAAACCCCTAAGGCACCAGGGAGAAAACGAAAATAGCATTCTTCCTCTAGTAGTTTGACCTTGTGGTCTATAGAAGAAAACAGGAAACAAGTTAGGAGCCTCCCACAGAAGGGCCTCTGAAAGGCTCTGCCCTGCAGACTATCAAAGCAGATGCTGAGACTTATGGCCAACTGTTGGGCAGAGTGCATGGAATCTTATGAAGTAAGTGGGAAATAGTAAGATCTAGAAAGGACAGGAGCTCCACAAGGACAGCAACAGAACCAAAAAATTTGAACACAGGGGTCTTTCCAGAGACTCATACTCCAACCAAGTACCACGCATGGAGATAACCTAGAACCCCTACACAGATGTAGCCCATGGCAGTTCAGTGTCCAAGTGGGTTCCATAGTAATGGGAACAGTTCTAACATGAACTGATTGGCCTGCTCTTTGATTACCTCCCCCTGAGGGGGAAGCAGCCTTACCAGGCCACCGTGGAAGACAAAGCAGCCACTCCTGATGAGACCTAATAGACTAGGATCAGAAGGAAGAAAAAGAAACCCTCCCCTACCAGTGGACATGGGGAGGGGCATGTGTGGAGAAAGGGGAGGAAGGGAGGAATTGGGAGGGGAGGAGGGAGGGAACTAGAGGGAGGATACAAAGTAAATAAAGTATAATTAAAAATAAAATAAAAGGTCTCAGGGATCTCCAGGGTTCCCCAGACCACACTCTGAGAACAGCTTTTGTCCCACCAGAAAGCAAATTTACACAGAGCAGGGCTTCTTCGTCCCTCTTTGTTAAAGTCAAACAGTAGACTGTGGACTCTCTCCCAAGCACTTTGCAGACTCTAACTGCAAAGCATGACAAAGAGAGGACAATGCATTCTCCACAGCAAGCAACAGAAACTTTCTTTTCCCTCAGGAACGCCCGCTGAGTGGGGACGGCACCAGTGACCTGGGGCGTGGAGATGGGCTCTTCGCTCAGCAGGATTTGTATGTATTTGCGCTTGGGTGCAAAGGTCTCACAGGTGCTGCTGTCGCCCAGGCTTCCTTGAGAAAGGACTCAGGTGAGAGGAGGTGCAGTCAGAGACAGCGTTTGCGTCTCCAGAGGGCAGCTCCAGCAGCACTGCCAGCGTGTGCATGGAGAGCAGAAGCTACGGGGACATCCTCGGACACAAACGACTCACAACTCTGCTACTGCCCTTTAAAGATGTATTTGCTTGTATATTTTATCAATATGGATGCTTTGTCTGCATGCATGACTGCACACCAGATCCCATTATATAGACAGTTGTGGGCTACCATGTGGGTACTGGGAATTGAACCCAGGACCTCTGGAAGATCAGTCAGTGCCCTAAATCTCTGAGCCCTCTCTCCAGTCCCACATTACTAATTAAAAAAAAAAAAAAAAAAAAAAAAAAGCTTAATATGGTAAATCTATTGTTAGCTGCCTGTAACCACAGTCAAACAAAAGAGTTTAAGGAGCTCCCAGACTCAGACACCACCACCACCCAGCCAGGGCACCAGGCAGACTCCAATCCCTATAGTATACCTTACCAAAGAGAAAAGTTTCTGCCTTGTCTTTAATTCTGCAAAGCAGAGTTCTACCCTGTGCCCAGAAACCTGTCCATTGGCAGCATCCTCACACTAGTGTCCTCTCCCCACGTTAACCGGTACTGCCCGCCACACCCACCTCACCCCCACTGGGTTCACACACAATTGTGGGCCTTCCCTAACCAGTAAGGAACAACATGTCAAGGCAGTATACGCTTTCAGCTGTACCGATTTCACCTTAAGGGCCATGGAAAAGCCAGGCACTTCCAGTTAACTGCCGAGCCTTGTGAACTACCTGCTTTCCAGAATTCATATTTAACCTGACAATCCTCCCTCAAACGGAAATCTGTTTCCATTTTGCAGGATCAAATGTCCAAGGTAAGGTGGACATAGAAGAGCAAAGGAGGTGAGCCATCTTCTAACTCCCAAACCTGACTCAATCCCCAGAATCCACAGGATGGAAGGAAAGAGGTAGCTCCCAGAAATTGTCATCTGATCTCTACACAAGTACCTCAGCAGGCACATACCCACACACATGAGGAAGAACGGGGGATAAATATTTTTTTAAAGAAATAGATGATCAAGCAGACTCGTGGTGGCGCATGAATTTAAACCCAGCACTCCGGAGGCAGAGGCAGGCAGGTCTGTGAGTCGAAGGCCAGTCTGGCCTTCCAGGTCAGTCAAGGCTACACAGAGAAACACTGTGTCTCTATAACCCCACTCCAAAAAAAAAAAAAAAGTCAAAGAAAGTGGCAGGTTCAATGACACCTCCTCCTGGGGATAAGAGCCAGGTGGTGCACCATCAGGCTCTTGCTGAGCTTGGGTAGTCTCCTTATCCTCAGAAATTGGACAACAGTGTCACCATATTGAGAGGCTTTAATATAAGCAGACAACCTAGGAAAAGGCATCTGTCCATGTTAACCCCATCCATGTCATTTTAAAAATATACATAAATCGGGAAAGTCTGGAATTTACATAGTGATTACTGAAAGCAGAAAAGCTTCAGGAGTAATCTCCAAGGGATTTTGGACCCACCCCTGTCCCGCTGTCACCTGCTGAGGTTGGGAAACCTCAGGAGAAACCTGGGACAGCTGGGCCTCCGCCTGCCCCCTGGTGAAAAGGGTGTGGGGGCCCTCCCAAGCCTCCCTTCTCAGAGATCGCACCCCAGATTACTGGACAAACCAGTTTTCTGGGAACCACGTGCCCACTTCTATTCCTGAGAGACAGAGCACTGCTAAGAGCAAGGGAGCGGGAGGCGGCTTACCACTCCGGGCTAGGAGGACACCCACCTCTCGCCTCCCGGGTCCGCGAAGCAGCAGCGCCCTTCAGTCACTCGGGCCCCCAACCCAGCCCGGGGTTGCTGGTCGTCCGGAGCCCCGAAAGGGAATTCAGTTCCCGGGCACTGACCTGAAGACGTGGATGACTGGATGCTGACGATACAGCGCAGGAGAAAGGAGCAGCAGCACGTGCGGAGTCAGGAGTTTGGTTCGGCCTTTTATCCTCTGGAGAGGACCCGCCCCGCCGAGGAAGCCCCCCCCCCCCCCCCCCGCGCGCCCCACCTAACCTCCACCCCGGGATGCCTGTGAGCCAAACCCACACCTGGGACAGAGCTGCCCTGGAGCCAGCACCAGGACGCGGTCACTCCCTCTCCGCAACTGGTTTAACAGGGGTTAAATTCGGGACTTGCAAGCCTCAGCTGGAAAGATCTGCTGCCAACTCCTGTCTGGAGATGTAGCACAGCCGGCAAGAGCCAAGCACTCAGTCGTTTCTTGTTCCCGTCTGGGAACACCAGTGTGAAGTAGCTTTCAAGACAAGGGCGAAGCAGGATGGGGCATTGTCTGGAAAGTAAGGACTTAGAAATTCTGAGTGCCAGCCTCCACCCAGACCCCAGCGCGCACGCCTGACCAAGTTCCTGATGGGCTTCCATCTGGAACTGGAAAAGCCCAGATATGGGTGTATCTCTTTTGGTGGTTCAATATTGTAGCTGCCCTGCCCAAGCAAAAGTATTTTACACTTAATTACAGGAGATAAGGCAGGCATCAGCCACTGCTTGCATGTAGGGGCTGGAGGACAACTTGAGGAGGTCCCGGGGATTGAACTCAGGCTGTCAAACATCTTTAGCCACTGAGCTATCTCTCAAGCCATTACCTGGAAGTTGGACTCGGGGATATGAGGTGAATTTCCCAGGAACGGCTGGAGAGAGACAGAGAGGCAGCACCAGTGTTAAATATTCCCCAAGGCTGATTGACTTATTAACTGACGATGGAAAGCCAATTAGAGGCCAGGAGCCAAAATTATCTCTGGATGGCCATTTATTACCCGTCCCTCCGTGTGACCTAACGGCCTGTGACTACTAGGTAAATGCTTTTGGAATGTACAAACACGACCCCTAGCTTCCGCCAACTCTGTGCTGGTTAGTTTTTTGTCAACTTGACACAAGCTAGACCTATCTGGGAAGAGGGAACCTCACCTGAGAAATTGCCTCCATCAAATTGGCCTGAAGATAAGTGTGAGGAGCATTGGCTTGATTAATGATTGATGTGGCAGGACCCGGCTTGGGCAGGTGGGCCTGAGAAGGGTAAGAATGAAGGCTAAGTGAGCCCAGGGAAGCAAGCCAGGAAGCAGCGTTCCACCATGGTCTCCGCCTCAGTTCCTGTCCTAGCTTCCCTTCACGATGGATTATAACAGAGCTTCTCAACATGCAGGTTCTCCACCTTTTGGGGGTCGAATATCAGATATCAGCTATTTACATTATGATTCTTGACAGTAGCAAAATTACGATTATGAAGTAGCAACCAAACAACCTTATGTGTTTATCACCACGACATGAGGACCTATATTAAAGGGCCACAGCATTAGGAAGGCTGAGAACCACTGAACTATGTGCTGTAAAATGTAATATACTTTCTTCCCCCACTTGCTTTTGGTCATGGTGCTCATCACAGCCACAAGACAAGTCCAAATAAGAATGCCCTCTGAGATGGCTGCCAGCCACGTGCCTGCCCTTAATTAAGATGACTGGTAAAGTTATGACTCCACCTTTTTTATCTCATAGTTAAGATGGTGACCAACCTGAGCATCTTTTAGATATATGCCCAGGAATGGTATAGCTGGATCTTGAGGAAGCTCTGTTTCTAATTGTCTGAGAAAGCAGCAGATTGATTTCCAAAGAGGTTGTACAGTTTACATTCCCACCAGCAGTGGAGGAGGGGGTTCCCCTTTCTCCACATCCTCTCTAGCATGTGTTGTCTCTTGAGGTTTTGATCTTAGCCATTCTGATGGGTGAAATCCAAAATATGCTCAAGTACACAACAAGGACATTTGCTCAACCATGTTCATAGCAGCTTTGTTCGTAATAGCCATAACCTGGAAACAACCCAGATGCCCCTTAACTGAGGAATGGATACAAAAATTTTGGTACATTTACACAATGGAACACTACTCAGCAACTTAAGGAAATCATGAAATTTGCAGGCAAATGGTAGGATCTAGAAAAGATCATCCTGAGTGAGGTATCCCAGAAGCAGAAAGACACACATGGTATATACTCACTTATAGGTGAACATTAGACATATAATATAGGATAATCATACTAAAATCTGTTCACCTAAAGAAGCTAAGCACGAAGGAGGACCCAGGGTAAAATGACCAATTCTCACTCAGAAAGGCAAATGGGATGGATATCAGAAGAGGGAGAAAACAAAAAACAGGACAGGAGCCTACCACAGAGGGCCTCTGAAAGACTCTACCCAGCAGTGTATCAAAGAAGATGCTGAGGCTCATAGCCAAACTTTGGGCAGAGCAGGGAATCTTATGAAGGAAGAGGGAGATGGAGGGACCTGGAGGGGACAGGAGTTCCACAGGGAGAGCAACAGAACCAGAAAATCTGGACCCAGGGGATCTTTTCTGAGACTGATGCTCCAACCAAGGACCATGCATGGAGATAACCTGGAACCCCTGCACAGATGTGGCCCATGGCAGCTCAGTATCCAAGTGGGTTCCCTAGTGAGGGACTGTCTTTGACATGAGCACAGTGGCTGGCTGTTTGATCACCTCCCCATGAGGAGGGCAGGTAGCCTTGCCAGGCCACTGAGGAGGAAAATGCAATTAGTCCTGATGAGACCTGATAAGCTAGGGTCAGATGGAAGGGGAGGAGGACCTCCCCTATCAGTAGACTTGGAGAGGGGCATGAGAGGAGATGAGGGAGAGAAGGTGGGATTGGGAAGGAATGAGGGAGGAAGCTACAGCTGGGATACAAAGTGAATACACTGTAATTAATATAAAAATTTTTTTTTAAAAAAGATGGTGACCAACCATGTGTTTGTTTATATCCCAGAACTGGGTTGTTCGACACGGTTTAAGATTCTCTAAGCACAGATTTTCCATCATAACCCCAAGTTATGAGTTTGAAGTTAAACTTTTGTCATAAGTTTAAAGGTAAATACTGTGAAACCCTCAGTCACGAAGGATACACAGGACTTGGTTTATGCCAGGAGTACTGGAACCAGTTCCCCTAGGATACTGAGGGACAGGTGCAGTTAAGATGAGTGCATTAGTGTGGGACTTAACCCAATGAGAAAGAGAAAGGAGGGGGTACTTGGACACAGATACACACACAGATTTTTTTTTTCTCCATAGCGCTGGTTAAAGCAAAGATCTGGCAATGTGTCCAAAAGCCAAAAAAATTCCAGGAAGCTACATTTAAATTGCTAATAGGGAAAGAGTTCTACCTGCAACTTGTTTTCAGAGTTATTTTGTGACTTTTTCCTACCATTTCCTCTCTTGCTATCTTCCATGCTGAGATGTTGGGTGTCTTGTTTTTTCTAGTGATATATTTTTTATTCCCTTCTCATTTCCTACTGTTTTTGGTATTTCCTGATTACAATGAGACCATGGTAACTACGATGATCAAGGCTGTCAATGTAACAGAATCTGAAGTCACCTAGGGGGCAAGCCTCTGGGCACAACTGTTGAGGGATCACCTAGATGTAGTGGAAGTTTCGGTTTCTTTAAAAACTCAGTTATGCGAGACCAGCCTGGTCTACAAAGTGAGTCCAGGACAGTCAAGGCTACATGGAGAAACCCTGTTGCAAAAAACCAAAAAACAAAACAAGATAAAAAACAAACAAACAAACAAACCCCAAAACCCAAAACAACCCCCCTCAATTATATTATGTAAATATGTTTTTGTTTTAATCCCAAGTGTGGGATATGGGGCTGCCTTAGTGTATCCACAGCTGATAATTGTCTTGTAGGGGCTTAGAGAGGGGTGTGGTCTTTACAGCTGGAGTTAGTGGAATTTTGAGGGTTAGAAATACCAGAGCCGGGAGAGAGCTCCAAGAAAGAAGGCTGCAGCTCCCCTTGCTGTTGCTGGTTCATCCTTCTGCTGTGTTTGCTGTTGCTGGCTTGCTGGATTGCTAGATATCCTGATGACCGAGATTGGTATTGTCCCAAAGGACCTGACGACCCTAACCAGTTGGAAGTAGTAAAGAGACTTATGTCCCTTCTCCTCACTAACCTTCTTTCTCTCCTGCCTAGTGTTGGGGTGTTGGAAGGTATTAGGAGGGATAACTAGTGGAGAAGGGAGGTAGAGACATAAGAAACCAATAAAGTATATAAAAAGTATGCCAGTGCTTAGATGAGGCCAGCCTCTGAGCCGGCCTGAGGAGACTATTTTGGTTATGTTAATTGAATGAAAAAGACCCATCTTAATTGTGCACAGGGCCATTCCCAGAACATGTGTTCAGGTGTCAGTGTGTCCTGGACTGTACAGATGGAAGAGACAGCCAAGCTGCAGGTGGCGGTGCCTCTGCGTTTCCCGGATGTGGATACGATATGGCCAGCTGTTCAAGCTGCTGCTGCCCTGACCTTCCTGTCACAATGGATTGTGGATTGTTCCTTGAACTGTGAGATACAATAAACTCTTTCTCCCTTAGGTTTGTTTTGCCAGGCCATCTTATCACAGCAATAAGAAACAAACAGTAATCTGGAGCTATAAACAAACACCATTTGAAAGAATGTTCAATAGCTTAGGAAACACTAACCTCAACAGCATAGAAGCTCCATTCCTAGGTTTCTCTGTTTTTCACTTTCTCAAGTCTTTAAACATAATACATTAAACGTTAATGCATTTCTTTATTTTTGCAAACATGTGAAGTCACAGTCCAAACTGCAATTGTTCTGATTTCTCTACTTACCCTCTCCTTTACTCCTATCAAAGATAAACGTTTTCCCACCCACACTCAAGTTTTCTTTTACCCTTTTATTTCATCCTGTGAGTGTTCTTCAAAGGCCACACCTGGTGGTAATCAACTCCTTAATATAGATTAATAATCTTGCTTTCACTCACATATTTAAATAATTATTTACAAATTAAAATCACAGT